GCTTACGTGGATTATAAAAAGCAACACCATTAGTACTAGTGATGGATCAGTGGTATAAGGGGGGTCCATGGACCCCACTTGAAAGTGGATCCTAACCATTATCCTAAAAAATTTCATCTTTTGCTGAAATTATCTCTTTTTGGCCACCATTTTTGCTGAAAATCATATTTTTGTAATATTTTAATAGAAAAACCCCCCAAAAAATTCAAATTTATAGATTTTATTTTCTACTTTCAAATTTTTGTTTAATTTTTTATATAAGATGGACCCCAATTATATTTTGCTCTAGATCCGTTATAGTCTTTGGCCCTTTTAGTGGTTCAATTGTTATTTTGGGGGTGTATAAATAAATATTGAAAAATAAATCCAAGGACCAAATAAAGCGAAATTGGAAAGTTGACGGTGGTAGAGTGGACTTAAGCCGTTAACCCTCCTTTACGTGCAGCGCTGCAAGTTCATAAACCCTAGCGGATATTGACAGAGAAAAAAAGCGTTCCATCAGATGTGATGGATCCTTTTGTTGAAAGGGAATCGGAGAGGAAAAAGGATCCTCAAAGATACTCGTTTAGCCGCTGCAAAAAAATTCTCCAAGAAGCCCCTTGACGCAGATGTACGCTTCTCTCCCTCCCGATTATATATGAAGTTTCGTACATTGATTGAATTTATCTGTAATTTAATTTCGTCCTTCCTTTGTTTAAATTTAGATAGATGTTTCAGGGTCAAAATGAAGGGATTTGGATAACAGTTACAGTGTTTCTTTGTTGTTGAGAATTCTAGATTAATATGAACCAATAACCATGCATGGCTTTCAAGTTTATATCAATTGTCGCATTAAGAGAAACATATTGGTGCTAGATTTGTATAAAAATCTAAATGGAATTTTGATTGAATATGACTATCAATATCATTGATCTCAACACCTCATTGAGCTTGGGTTGTAATAAAAAACACTTAAATGCACCATATATAATAAGATGTCATGAATTTCTAATTAAAGTAATTCACATGATGACTGTTTGGAGTTAAGTGTTGTATAAACAAAGCATGTTTCCTTTTGTCAAAAATTGGGACAATGGATGTTATGTTATTACAGAGTTTAACAACATGGGCTGGAATTTTGCTGGAGTTGTCCCAATTTGGAAAATTATATGAATCAACTGAGATGGTCGAAGGTAAGGTTTCTGTTGTTAACTAATACATTAATTCTTATTTTTATGCTTATAAAATAATTTTGATTGAATGAATAAACAATGTTTAGAGGCTATGTCAAAACTTCATAAGGCATTGACTATCGATCCTACAAATCATAAGACTGTGTGGTACTTAGGGGAAGTTCACAAGTTTAAGGCGTTTCTAAACCCCGATCATGATGAGGCTAAAATTGAGTATGACGTGGCATTTTGATATTTCATAAAGGCTGTAGAACTGGTATTAATTACTTCATCCCTTTTCTTGTACATAAAATTATTTATTTATTTATTTATGTTTTCTAAGCATCAAATCCAAGTGTTGATGTTTTCTGTTGAAATGTACTGTTGTCTCAGTCTCCACGAAATGAAGATTATCGCTACTCTTTGAAAATATGTGCTCAGGTAATTCATACATCTAAATTTCTTCACTTGTTTCTCTTTATCAATTGCTCTAGGTTAATTATTCTGTTTTACTAATTCCACATTATGTAATTTAAATTTACTTTCACAAAATATTTGAAGTGAATCATAATCACATAAATCACTCCTTGTTTAGTTTAGTTTAACCACCTTTTGACCTTTTACCAAAATGACCACCTAAGAACCTTAAAAGAATAAATAAAAAACATATTTTTTTTCATATGATGTTGGTTTGCAGATTCTTTCTTTCTCTTTTTTTTATCTTTTTTTTTTTTTGCAAAATGTGAACATCTTTGCAATATGTTGTGATATATGATTTTTTTCAATTTATTGGAATTTTGCAATTGATTGACTAAAATGGTCATTTTGTTTAAAAAGTTAGTCAATTTTGTGATCATCCCATATTTTGTTCATTACATAATTCAAATTTACTTTTAACTTACAAAAAATTCAACCATGCAGCATGCACCTGAGATGCACAAAAAGAGGAACATGCAAGGTAAAGTTGGTCTAGTTGAACAGATATTGGCTAGAGAGTGTGGTGCCTCTTCTTCAAGTGTTAAGGTTATTATGATAATAATTTCTTTATTTATTATTTTCATTATATACTTCTATGTGTATGATTTTGCTTAATTATTGCACATTATTTCATTCCCTAAGTTTTGACCATTATATATAAATGTGTCAATTGTGTGTTGTGTGTTGTAGGGCACTTATGATTTAAAGTGTGAGTTACTCGGGGGCGTAATTCTTGCTATTGGGTTTGTTGCATGGATAGTGATGACCAAGTCCAATGTGCCTCCACCTCCATCAAATTCAAGATAAGGAAGCTTAGTTTAGTTAAAGAAAACTCATTTTATTAATAGTGGATGCAAATGATGAGTGCATTATGGTGCTGAATTTTGACTCTAACTATTCATGAATATATAGTAAAACGCAATTTGGTACTTCATTTGAATTTGGAACATCTTCCCTTTCCTCTTATTGTGTAATTGCTATTGCTTAATTAGTAAGTCGCCCCTTTTCTTTCTCTTCTAGTTAGGATAAGCTAAAAATCTCACCAAATGTCACCCTCGTGTTTAGTTTAGCTAGGGACATGAGTGCTCTTCTTGGCTTAGTTTATTATGTAAGGCAAGACATGCCTCCTAAAAGGTTATAATGCATTTTATTTGAGACTAATACACAAAGTTGATTATGCTTTATGGTGATACTAGTTGTGTAAATTTAAGTTTGTATAAAAAATAAGCAATGCAATGGTATTAAAGTAATGAAGGTTTTACTATTGGAATCCACATTATGTTGGTATCATGGTATGCTAATGAGTTGAGACATTTATTTATCAATAAGTTTATTCCATAAAAGGTACTATATTTTTTCCGGTTTTATATCTAAATCTTTTTTTTTTGTTAAAATAAACTTAACTCAACATATTCAATGTTAGTTCATTAACGGAGCCAGTTACCAAATAGATAAATTGGATTTATTCCAAAAATGACCCTATATTTTATCTTGTGTTTGTTTTAGAATTTTTTTTTTTCAAAAATAAACCCAACTTTTATATTCATTATTATTAGATTCCTTTGAGACTCAAGCTTTTCTTATCAATATCCATATTATAAATAGTCATTAAATTCCTCAAACATTGCATTATTATTCAGTTTCGGTTTAGTAGACTTTAGGACCTTCAATCCCTCAATTATCCAAAGAGAAGAATTTAAAATATGTAAAAGTGAAGATCATTTATCAACATATAGATCCCTGTCATCCTCTGCATTATATATATATATATATATATATATATATATATATATATATATATTCAACAAACACCTTTTATGAAAATTTTGACAATATATATTCATCATACACTTTTTATGAAATTTTTGACAATATATTCATCAAACATGAAAATTGGTATATTAATTTAGCGAGCTCTTTTGTGATTATACCAAACTAAGGGGTCGTTTGATAGCTGTCAAATGAGTTAGAACTAACTGGGTTAGAAGCTGACCGGGTTAGAAGTTCTGACTGAATTAACTTCCGATTGAAACTTGTTGTTTGATTTTGTATCTAACTAACTGTGCAAAATGACTATATTACCCTTAAACAACATCTTTTTATAATATATTAAAAATCTTTTTTTCTTTATTTTATACCACTAACCTCCATCATTTGAGTTCATTGCAGTTTTCCAAATGATTAACAAGTAATATATAATCCCAAAAAAAGAGAACACATGAAATTCCAAATGATTCACAAGTAATATATAATCTTACATTGTTTCATTCAACTCATCTCTCTATTCCTTATAAAAAACACAAAAATATGAATTTGATAATGTCAATATGATATATAGCTTGTTCCATGTTGAATTAGTTTATACATGGATTCAGTCTCAATGTAAGTATGAGAATCAAAACTCTAAAAATAAAGAACATAATACAAAATGAAATATCAAAAATAGAACATGAATAGGTGACCCATAAACAAAAAAGTTCCAACTGATGACCCATAAATATCCAATACAAAAAAGTTTCAATTGAAGACCCATAAAGAAAAGCACAGAGTCCCAAGTCAAAACAATGGATAATGACGTCGACAACCTTCTTGAATCTCTAAACCAAAACTAAAGACTAAAGATTTAGGAAGTTGAAAATAAGTAAAATTGAAATCGATTTCATTGAAAATGAGCAAAATTCAAATCGCAAACAATCAAACCTCAATTTTATGAAATCGATTTAATTTATTGATTCAAACAATCGATTAAAGAGGAAGATGACCGTTGGTGGTGGATGGAAAAGTTATGTGATCGATTGAAGGAGAAGTCTGACGATGGTGGAGGAGGTGTCCGACGATTGATTGCAGGCGAACCGGTGATGGTGGAAGGAGAAGTTATATGTTGGTTTGATGGAGAACCAAGGTTCTGCATATGAAGAAGGAAGGTACATACGAGAACGACGCATAAAAGACTCGGTCAGCAGGTATTTTTGCTTGGACCGAATCAACACAAAAGTGGAGACTAGATCTTTGATTTGGACCGAATCAACACAAAAGTGGAGACTAGATCCTTGATTTGGACCGAGTCCAAAGTTATAGAAAGCAAAACAAACAAGCTGACTTTAGATTGATGACCGGATCCTAACTTCGGACCCAATTAGAAGGTAAATCAAACGACCCCTAAAATCGATAGTTTGTGATTATCCGTTCAGCTGGGATAAGCCAAGGGTTGTTTTTGTATTAAAAGAATATAGTGGGAACCTTTGTGGTATAACTCCAATCTGCATGGTAGAAAATTCTCGAACTTCAATTTGGGCGCAATTCAATGGGGAAAGGGATTTGCTTAAATAGCCAACATCCGAGATTGCCGAAATCACGTAGACGACGGCAGCCATGGAAGTGCAAACGGTGAACATGGATGAACTTCTTCTCCGGACTGCCGAAATCACGTATGCCAAAAAACCTCTCGATACCGAGATTAGGGTTTCGCACACCACTTGTTAGATATATATCTTCGTGTTTCTGTGTATCATTATTCTATATGCTATGACACCTTCTGATTGATGTATTTCCTTGTTCGTCGATCGATTGGAGTAGAATCTAATCGAATGGGGAAGGGATTTGCTTAAATTGTCAACATTCAAGAGTGCAGAGGAGTCGAAGACGATTGTTAAATGTAAGCCTGATCCTTATGACGTGAATTCATGGATCTATCATGATTAATGGTTAAATTTCATTTTCTACATGATCGATCAGATGCTATATGGAAACTGTATGAAGCATTGTTCATCGATCCTAAGAAACACGAGGCATTGTGGTGCATGGGTAGTGCTCTGACTTCTCTTGCCATTATGACTCCTGATGATGATATAGCTAAAGATAATTTTGATTCGGCTTATACTTACTTCCAAAAGGCAATTGCTGAGGCAAGTTTCTCTTCTACAATTGATTTTTTTTAATTCACTTTATGTATAATCGATTATTGATTGGCTGTTGCAGGATCCAGGAAATGAACTTTATCAGAAATCAATTGAAGAGGCTGAAAAGGTACATTGTTGTTCTTATCATCTGAATGATGAATTATTTTATTTAATTTCACCATTGTTAGAATTTTACTGTGATTTCTTTCAGGCGATTGAATCACATGAACAAGCTATGGCTTCAGGGGCATCAACATCTTCCTATGCCAAGGTAAGGGTAGTATCCTCTCCTCTCAAGTCCTGTGAGGGCAAAAATGTCATTTTACTTGCTGATGAACGGATTTATGTGTAGTTATTGGAGTGTTTGAAGTCACAAAAGAAGGAGTTATGGCAGTTTGATGTATGTGGACGGGTTCTTCTTGCTGTAACCATTGTGGGGTGTGTAAGATTTGCAAAAGCTAATGTGCATCCACCTCAATGATAAGAGCTTTATGTCTGGTGATTTTAAGAAGATAATTAGGGGTTTATTTTGATTTTGATCAAAAATTAGAATTGGTTTTGGTTAAACATATTACCTAGAATTTGAATTGATTTCTCATGATTTGTTGATAATGATAGTATGTGTTATGATTTATTGTGTTTTGGAGTGGATTCTAAGGTTCCATGTTCAAATTAATATATTGAAGGAATCTTTGTTTATGTTCAATTTGGAAGTTATAAAGCTTTAATGGTTGTTGTGAACCATTGCAATTGTAGATCACCTTTTAATCCATCATAATTCAGATTTTATTATGAAATTAGTGATCTAATATGATTTGGATCTATATTCAAATCATTGAAGAAAATCTAATTTAGAGGTCCTTGACAATGTTTTGAAGCTTAAATTGAACTAATAAGATTACAAAATTTGGCAAAAACCTCAAAACTAGTGCTTTGATTATGTTCAACTATTTAAGACTTGTAGTTTAACCTAGAAGTACACATTCAAACCATTTTTTTTACCAATGAGAAAAAAAACAGAACTTATTTCTTTGAGAACCGTTTATTCCAAATAAATGAAGTATCTGGTTATTTCTAGCAAGGGAAAATGACACTGGAGGATAACTAACTGTTGAGTTTGTTCTCATTTGGTCATTTTCCTTTTTTTTGTACCAATATACCATCGAACTTGTTGTTGTGTTCATCATATCCCTTTTAACCGGCTTTTGACCGACTATGGTGAATACAAACAACAAGTTCGATGGTATATTGGGTACAAAAAAAATGGGAGAATTTCGTATATGCCCTTTTTAAACTTTAAAATATCATATTTGTCCAGCCTAATTTCTAAATATCATATTTATCCTTCATAAACTTCTAAATATCATATTTGCCAAAATTATTTTTTTTAACATTATTTAAATATTTTATAATCATTTAAAAACCTTATTTTTATTAATCGACCATTATACACTTCTAATTATTATTATTAAATTAAATTACAATACAATTATAAACCTAGTCACTTTAAAATAAAATTATAACCTAATCTATATCGTTGTCTTCTTCTTCAATCGTCATAGACCTGGACCCAAGATTCAAATGTTGCACAAATATACCTAACATATAGTTTTGTTTGTTTTTGTGCATTCTTGAACATAAGAGGGAATCTTTGATTTTTATGTCAAGATAACTCATAGATGATTAGAACCCAAAAGGTTGAGAGGGTATGTGAGTTCCACTTTCCAATTCTTCTTACCATCAATATGTTCTCTCTCTCATCATTTCATCATATCTAAGTTTCTCAATTAAGTTTGAAGGACACATTTTATATTAATATTATATTAAGTGCATAGAAAAATTGGTAATGGAACCGATGTCAACGTATCTATAACAAAAATCTGCAAGCACTCATATTTACCCTTCATTAAAGCGTTTTTGTTCTTCATATAAACTACAAATAATAAATTCAAGTTTAAAATTGAATAAATTAAAATTGTTAATAAGCAAACAACTAAGTGGACAACGATAACTTCGAATGAAAAGTCTCCTAGATGACAGAATATGAAAGAAGGTACTCTGGGTCGATTGAAGAAGAACATCGATCTTGATTAGGTTGTAATTGTGTTTATAAGTGATTAGGTTATATTTGTACTTTAATTTAATGATAATAATAATAAGAAGGGAATAATAGTTCCTTGATAAAAGTAAAGTTCTTTTAAATAGTTATAAAATATTTAAAATGTAAAAAAAAATGATTTGGACAAATATGATATTTTCAAAGTTTACAAATGATAAATTTGATATTTAAAAATTAGGTTGGTCAAATATGATATTTTAATGCTTAAAAAGGACATATACGAAATTCACCCAAAAAAAATAAAGAGACCAAATGAGAACAAACTCAACAGTTGGTTACCCTCCATAATCATTTTCTCTTTTATTTACCAAGTTTTTTTCTATATTACTTAGTCTAGTATTAGCTAACTAGGTTATAACCCGTGGAAACCACGGTAATGCATCGGCGTCTTGATTGTAAGTAATGTTTAATTAATTTGATAAGTAAAATAAACATAACACTTAGATTTTTAAATAGTCCTTTGTGCACAACATTAAAAGTTTTATTGATCGGATTTACAAATTTATGTTGTATCGAAAAATTTAAAAGATATATATTATATTAAATATAATATGTTATAATATGCTATAAAGCGGTAATGAGAATTTATTTGTCCATCATCTTTGTAGGCATTTTTTAAATAATAATTATGATGTAAAAAAGAGAAAATATATATAATTATATCTTTGTGAGGAATGACATTTGGAATTTTAAAAATAAACAATATATTATGATTGAAATAAGGACTTTGATTAAAAATTGTATGATATACATTATGAAAATTATATTTATATATATGGATAAGAATTTATTTTGTAAGCAATAACAAAAAGATATAGATTATATATTTTGATATGTACAAAATGCCTCGACGTATAATAAAAATACTAATAATAAAAATAGAAACTTTTAGTCCATATAACATTATTCACAATATTTTTTGATATTTTTGTAATTACAATGCTATTTATATATCATATAAAAAGTTAGCCCTAAATAAGTTTAACCCTAAAAACATTCTTTCTTCTGACTGACATTGTAGACTCAAAGTATCGTTTCTATTTTTTTTCTTTCTGAAATCGCATACACCAAATGATGTATTCGATTTCTGCATTTCAAAGTACCAATCTCTTGTAATCGGAGATCTCATCGGCTTCGTAGCAGCCTTACAACATAGGCACCTCACTATATCCACTTCTTAACAGTACAATCGGGAATAAATACAGGGTTGAAATCCAAAATCGGGAGGAATACAAGTCCAATTTTGTAATAGATAGTAGACCAGAAAGAAACCTGAATCAGTCTGTTGCTAAAGTTATGAAAGAATAATGGCGTCCTTGTGGTCTGATTTTGGAATATGTTGGTTGTTGGATTTCAACGATGAAGATAGGGCGACGATGATGAAAAGGTAAAATTACAAATTTCGTTTTTGTAGAAGATGTGATTAAATGTACTCCTTGTATTTATTTTTTGAAGTTTGACTGTATTTCAAAATTGAATCTTGAATTGTTACTGTAGCAATAAATCTCCATAATCATAAAGCATGATGGTGGTTATTGAGTAAGTGTTGCAGAGTATGTTGCATTCAACAACAACTGAGAGAATCTGCCATGTTTCCTTTCCACATGTTATGAAAGGTATGTCCTTTCCACAAATGTATTAAATTCCATCAATCCAGCATAGTAAACATTTATACTACTAAAAGTACAATGTTATACTTAGTATTTAAAGAAATTGCATGAATTATTAATAACTTAATGGAAATGAAAAGAAAACCATACCCAATATTACCAATTCATCATATAAAACCATTGTTTTTTAACTTTTGGTGTCAAAACCTTCATCTTCTCTTCATTTCCTGTTGACATATACATTGATTTTGTTAAATTGTCCTTAGACATAAAAAACTGTCAAACTTACGGTTTCCTTTTCTAAGTACAATATAAAAGGGCATATTTGTCATTTATAATATAAAAGGGCATAGTTGTCATTTTCTAATATAAAAGGGCAGAGTTGTCATTTCTAATATAAAAGGGCAGAGTTGTCAGTATCTACCTAAATTATAAGTTTAATTTATATTTGACAGTAAAAAACATAAGTAAAAAATATATAGCCGATAGAAATTGATAAATGGCAATATTTCTATTATAATGGCATATTTGTCATTTTTATAATATAAAAGGGCATAGTTGTCATATTGTAATATAAAAGGGCAGAGTTGTCATTTTCTAATATAAAAGGGCAGAATTTGTCATTGTGACCAAATTTACAGAAATTGTCATATTGTAATATAAAAGGGCAGAGTTGTCATTTTCTATTTGTCATAATAACATCCTATTTTCAGATGGTGGAAGTGACCAAATTTACAGAAATTGTCATTGTTTAAATAAATTTAGAGAAATAGTCCATGTACAAAGTACAATGTCATAATAAAAAAGTGAAGGTAAATAACCTAAAAATGGTTAAAAACAAAAAAGAAAAAAAAAAGGTCGAAATTGTCATTTTTACAAAAGAAATTATACCTTGGATATATAGTTTTTACCATTTCATAAACCTTTTAAAAAAAAAAAAAAAAAAACTTACCATGTATGGTACAGTAGTAATATGTCCCTAAAACGTAGACCTAGTATTACTAAGAGTGGACATAATTCTTTTTTTTTTTTTAACAAAATCATTAATAAAGTAGAATGCCATTTTGAAAAACCTTGCATATTTTCTTAAAAAACCTTACATAGACCTGCTTCCATAAGTTTATGACACAAACTTTGAGACTCAAATCATCCTTGAGTACGTCTATATCTGCTTTTAAAGTAAACTTTGATGCAACCATTTCGCTGCAAATATATGAAATTATATAAGTTTGATGCCAATTATATAGTTATTAGGCATTCAGAAAACAAACAATGAAAACAAATGGCAAGATTAATAGAAAAGGGCATAACTGTGATTTTCTATGTCCAAAAAATAATAAGTATTTTGTCTTTTGTTTTTTTTTATAGAAATTTGGCCTCTTTTTTTTGGCTAAAACACTATCATACATAAAAGTTATTTGGTATAAAGTTATAGAAATATGAGAAGCAATGTACTTTTACAATGCTATAATTTTTAAAACATGAAATATACTAGAGTTATTTTCTAAAAAACTGCCATAGAAGACAAACCACAAAAAACATAAGTATATGCAAAAGAATAATGCTCTATTACGAATTACCTTATATTTTTATAAGATAATAGAAAAAGGCATAATTGTCATTTTTATATTAAAAATAAAAAGTTGACAGTTTAATTGTTTGTTGTTGGTACAGGATATTGTCATAAGCATATCAGTAAGTATCTCTCACAATGAGCTAACTGAAATCGTGAACAGAATCAATAGGTATCTATGTTATTTCTTATAAACTAATGTAAGTAGAATGCTATGAATGGTCTAAATTTAAAAGTACAACAACAGTCAAGATATTTAAAATAAAAGACACATTAATGCTTTCATTTAAATCGTGAGCATAGTATGCTACTATGATAATAGTTATAGACCAATCAACATTTGTT